GGGGACTATTAAACTGGAGGCACAACAGAATTGGTTTAGGAAGACAAAGTAATTAGGAATGCTTGTGTGTGAACTCACACAAACTTAAACTCCTTATGTGAGTCTCAGACCAACCATAATCTGCATATTAAGAATATAGTTATGCATTGTAAGGATGGACTTCTAATTTAGTAGGGAATTAATTAAAATTAAGCAAAAACATGAGGTGTGAGCTATCCAATTTCAAAACCACAACAAGGGATTAAAAATCCACATTTGTAGTCCTCTGAAAGGTAGCTGTATTTACCCTCAATCTCTGTTGTCTTATTTACCTAGTCAACAGCCAAAATAAAGAAGACCACAAACACCTGAACCTGCACCTTACCGCTCCCCCCAGCTTAGTGTCTATATATTCCAATCAGGAAGGACCTGATGGTAACGATTTGTGCCAGTCCAAAAAATAACATCTCTCTGTTGACATACCGTTATGCGCAAGCAACAACAAAAGGTATACCACTATATAAAAGGCAGGAAATTGGTTTCTTCTGATCTGAAATCAGACACAATTAAAAGTCCTACACAATTACTTTCATTAGTGAATCCAGTTTAGAAAGACGTGTACAAACAGAAAGCAGAGACTACAGAGATAGCTAAGAGGAGGGCCAGAAAAATTATCAAAAGCCTCTTTTGTCAGCAGACCTCACAACACAATTTGTATGATATATGCCACTTACTTGGGTTTTTCAGTCACTTGTGTAACACTCACTAGAATATCTTGGAGATACAAGTGTCTGTGAATGTCTCCATCCTAGAACAGAGAAGAGAAATTTATTGCCAGTCTACAGCAGTGCACATTCAAAAAACGCATTGAAAATCATTTTTATTCCTAACACGACACTCCGCTAAGGAAGAGAAAGAGGTGAGAACATCAACTGGGGGCAAAGGGTCATATATTACCCCAACTTTAAATCCAATCAACAGAACAAATTAAAAACATAACTTGGCCCTCTTCACAGAATATGTTTGATGCCTCTAGGGTAATGTGCAGATACACCAACACCCTTTACTGTTTCTATGAGAATAACTTCAACTGCTTATCACAGGTCCTTTGTGACTCTTGCTCCATAAGGTCAGGCCTCTATCATATGAACTAAGGAAAAAGCTCCTTTAGGGCCCAGATCCTGCAGACACCTATTCAGCATTTAGTGCCCATGAATTCAAGTATTTGTGGACTGTGCTCCAAATGTTAGCAGCAGAGTTCTTTCTCCTGTTGCTGAGAAGTTCCAACTGGCCACAACTAATACTTCACAGAGACAACTGTGTTCCTCATGTGCTTGTTACAGTATTTATTTTTATAAGACCTTGAAAGTGGGCCATGTCCCTTTACAAGATCCACTTTACTATATGTAATTCATGTCTACACAGCTTCTTTTCTGCCACCAAAACCAAGTTCATGCAGCAGTGTGCATCAAGACCGTTGGCCACATAACACGACATTCTAGGAATATCTAGGCAGCTTTCCAACCACCTCAGTGGGCAGAGCAGGCACTTTGGAGATATCCTACAGCACAGGAACCTGTGGCCAAGCACAGGAACCTATGGTTAGTGGCTAAGTAGTTACATGGCAGAACTAGAAGGCTCCGTCTCTAGTGAACCAGCAACCTGCTGCCTGCCACCCATCCACTGATTTTTGTTAGTCCATACCCCAGCCAGGGGCATCCACCTATGAGCTGCCAACCCTGCAGGCAAGTAGCTATGGCATGGGTGGCCAGCCTGCGGCTCTTCAGAAGTTAATATACATCTCCTTGAATCTTTGCACAAGCACACAGTCCAAATTGAAGCTGGTCACCGTGTGCTTGTGCAAAGATTCAAGGAGATGCATATTAACTTCTGAAGAGGCGTATGTGGCTCTGGAGCCGCAGGCTGGCCACCCCTGAGCTATGGGCTCAGTTGGGAGTGCCTCCTTAGTTTACAAGGGAAGCCTCTTCAAGAGACAGGAAAACATCACAGAAATCATAGAAAATTAGGGTTGTAAGGGACCTCAAGAGGACATTCAATCTAACCACCTTTTCAAAGCAGGACCATCCCCAACTATGTCATCCCAGCCAAGGCTTTGTCTAGCCAGGTATTAAAATCCTCCTAGGATGCAGATACCACAACCTCTCCAGGGAGTCTGTTCCAGTGCTTTACCACCCACTTTGAGAGTTTTCCCTCATATCTAACCTAAACTTCCCTTGCTGCAACTTGAAATCATTGCTCCTTGTTTTATCATCTGTCACCATTGCGAACAGCTCAGCTCCATCCTCTTTGGAACCACCCTGCAGGTATTTGAAGGCTGCTATTAATTCCCCACTCAGTCTTCTCTTTTCCAGACTAAATAAGCCCAGTTCCCTCAATCTCTTCTAAGAAGTCATGTGCCCAGCCCCCTAATTATTTTTGTTGCCCTCTACTGAATTCTCCCAATTTGTCCACATCCTTTTTGTAGTGGGGGGCCCAAAACTGGACACAATACTCCAGGTGTGGCCTCCCCAGTGCCAAACAGAGGGGAAGAATCACTTCCCTCAATGTGCTGGCAATGCTCCTACTAATGCAGCCCAATATGCCATTAGCCTTCTTAGCCCACAACCCAGTGCCCACCTCTGCCTGGAGTCTGTCACGCCTCACCTGGCAGGGGAGGCATCATCTGCATGGCCGTGAATGACTCGGGTGTAGTTACATGGGCGACCGGTGCTGCCTTAGTCAGGGGAGCATGTACCCCCCCTGCAACCAGTCTCAATGCCCAGGGGGAGGGTCCCCCCGCAGCCAATCTCACTTCCCGGAGGGAGATCCCCCGCGGCCAATCACTGCAGTTGCTTCCATAAGGGGAGAGCCTGCAGCGATTGGCCAGGGCTTGCAGGGGGGGCCCCGGCACTCCCGTTTGCCCGCCCTGCCCATCACCCAAGCAGGGAGCACAGCCAATCAGGCGGTGCACCAGCGCTCTCAGGGGTGCAGATGCAACCCCGTGCACCTCCTACGCATCGCCACTGTGTAGGTAGAAGGTGAAAGCCTGTCTACAAACGCCTCCAAATGCGAGCACTTCGGCTACACAATTTATGGTGAAGGGGGATTGCTTGTGGGATTTCCGTCTAACTTGCTCCTTCAGCCTTTTAACTAGAGGCAAGTCAGACGAGGGAGCACCTGACCTCCACGGCCTCTGGGCTCGGAAGCAGGAGGCCGGCCATGGCCTGGGGAGACGCTGAAGCGCAGGCTGAGCAGTAGGGTAGGGGGGCCGTTGCCGGCGGCAGGGCCACGCAGACTCAAACCACGGAGCTGTGTTCAGCCGAAATCCGGGAGTGAATCCGGAACCGCTGCGCCGGTGAACCCCCACGCGCGGCGGGCCCTACCTCCAGGAGCTCGTGCTCGCGGGGGCACCGCAGGCGACGGGGCGAGAAGCGGAACGGGGCCTGCGGCGGGGCGCGGGCCGGCACGGGCAGGAGC